GTATATAAATGCCTTTTCGGACACAGGACACACGTGGGTAGACTCGCTCGTTCGAGAGAAAGTTCAGTGGTTTGCTTAGAGGCTTGCATATACGAGAGCTCGAACTGCTTGCCTCTCTAGTTTGTAATTGCTTGGGTTACCGTGAATTAGCTGATAGAAGCTGCAGCAACCCCCGTTGTACGTATACACGTGCATGTATGTATGCCGTACCAGCCACGCGTGCAGCGCATTTACAACGAGCGCAGCGGCTGCAGTCTTGGGTTTCGTTTTAACGTGTTTGTATATTTGTTGCCGTTGTTATTGTCGCTATCCAGGAGAGAGCCGATGCGAAGCTTAAATATCAAGCTCGCTCGGCTTGTATATATGCAACGCGAGGCTTTGGCCGATACTCTGTTATATAAAGTTTCAGTCGTCTACGAAAAAGGACGGGAGGACAAAAAAAATGCGCTTATACGTACACGAGCAACAATGTTGTGTATTGTGTAAAACTGCGGATCGTGATACACAAGCCTGTTGGCTTCGGCGCACGAATGCCGTATATAGTATACACGTACACACGCTGCAGATACGCGATAAAGGCCTTTGCCTTATACGCGTTATACATACACATGCCGCGCGCGCGCGCGGATAAAATGTCGCGCAGCGAACTACGCGACATGATGAATAGACGCACGCCAACTATTTGTACAGCTTAATTATATATATACTTCCTTTAACTTCGGCAACGTTGTTTATAGTCGCGCATACATAATTGAATTCGGCAAACTTAGCTCTTACTCGCTCAAAACGAATCACTGAAATAGTTAAGATCGCTGAGCCGATTTCGCCCTAGTGTGTATACGCAACGATATTGTATTTCTATCGATCAAGGCTATATACGTTTCAATAAGAGCGAGAGCCGAGCCACAGCGGCGGCGCTCGTTCGTATGAGTGGCGAAATTCATTGCGCAATTACGAGTACGCCTGGGCAGAAAATTCATCCCGACGCAAAAAAAGCGGCTGTATTTATACACGCTCTACTATTGGCCGAAATTCGGCCTAAATCGCTTCTCTCTCTCTACAGCCCCCTCAACGACTATAGTCATAAACTCGCGCGCGAGCGTGTAAGTCGAAAATGAGGGCTCGATTCACAAAATGTGGTAATGAACGAGATGCCGATATGGGCGCCGCTTTTAATTAAAGCCTCCTTTCGGCGCGCGCGTATTTCTGAATTATTTCGCCCCGGATATATACGTATATGGTCTATAGGATCGCGCCCGCCTATGCTGAAATATATACGTATATAGAACATGCATGTTGATTGCTTATTCGTTCGAGGAAAATCTCGTCGACTTTTTTCGCACGATCGAACGATATCTTCTAGGCCATCTGGCTCTTATGACTGCTTATGTGCTCCTATAGCAAACGAGGTGCGAACGTTTTGCCTATAGAAAATTAAAGTAATTTTTTCAAATTTATTAATCAGAAAATTTCCCATTCTGTATAGTAAATGGAATTGACCAGAGGAAAAATGAATCCATCGAGAATGGGCAACGAATTATCGGATAAGATTTGAAAAATATGAAAATTTCATTGAATAGACAAGTGTTTTTCATCAAGTCAGTAAATAAAAGACAAGAGTATTCAAGTCCGCGAAACTGCACTTATTGGGCTCTCTTCTTATATGCACATAAAAACTATCAAACACCGCATTGGATCTTGAGCTTCGCCGAGTCTTTTTCGCGCGAAAGTTTCCTGCGTGTGCGCGCGCTCTTTTATACGTTACAGCTGCTATCCTAGGAAAACGAAAAGCTCAGCGCGAAAAAAGTCGAGCGCTCACGGCGAGTGAACGACGACGTCGTGTCCTGCGCCATCCGCGCGCTGCGTCTGTGCCAATTTGCATTTAGATTAGCACTCCTACAGGAGCAAAAAAAGGATGGGATACAGTTTACATAGTAAAATTTTTACCCTCCGAAAAGTGTGAATAACCTGTTGTGGTATTCGCTCTGAAACTTCTCTTTGCGGCCTTATACACACGCGTAACTCACATTTTTAGAATACTTACTGTGAGCTCGTGACTCTGCGCTGTTTGAATAATTTTTTTTTTTCAACTTTTTGTGCGTGCTTTCGGGATGGGGACGGCCAAAAATTTTATTGGTGCCAAAATCGCCGATAGACGTGTACGATTACATCATACTCAAAAAGGAAAGCAAATATTCGCTTTTAGCGCGACGGTTGTTTATTTTAAATCTATATAAAATAATTTCTTTTTCCTTGGCGAATACATTAAAAAATTTATTCCAGCAGTGTATAACCAGGTTATATGAATATACTTTTACTTTTATTTGCCCTGAACTTTACGTCAGTTTTTATTGGTTTTAAGCATCATAAATATACGTGTGCGTCGAAATTTAATGACACCGTTGTAATTAAACGCTAATGCCTTCATTGTGATAGAAAAAGCGTTGCCATCGAAAAACTGCGTGCTAAAAATTACAGTAAGCGAAAGAAAAGCATTTAAAATTATTCAATGTCTGTACTCGATCTTTTATTCTTTTTTAATCATCCCATTCTACCTTATTTCTCGTTTTCATCCGGGGTCTATGTGTGATTTTACATTTGCCCATACGTACGCACGTGTGTAAAATCTTTTGGTATTCCGATCACGTTCGTTATTCTTTCATTTACGCTGCGCGCGCGGGAAAGAGAGCATACAGCGAGCAGCACTCCGACACTGTTTGTCACGTAGTCGAATTCAGCAATATCTCGGAGTTGAAAAAAGAATTAAAAAAAAAAAAAAAAAACGAGTCTCGAGCTAGCTTTAATTAAGCTTTTGGATCATTATCTCACTCGCAGTATGCCGAGTTTCTTCAGCAAGTCTAGATTTCGATTTTCGAGCGCATCGCTTTTTTTCTATCGAGAATATGGTTCTGAGATATATTTTTTTTCGATACAACCTGATTTTAAAAAGTAATATTTGGTGTTACAATATTATTGAAAGGTTTCATGTTATTCCATCAAAGCTTAGTAGGTAAATAGAGGAAGAGATGCATGTACGTGCCGGGAGCAATGATAAATGTATTAAGTGGAAAAACATCGGTAACATCAATTTCATTGCATTCTCGCGAATGCATTTCAAATGCAGATGGTACACATTGAAGCAATTCTGCGATATTCAATGAAATAATAACTTATTTTTACAATTTGTAAATACATTAATTTAATTAAATATACATTTCTAACGGCGACATAGGTGTATAATAATTTCATGCATATAATGGGATAGAGCTCTTTTGTACATATATAATAAATTCACAAATGTTGCTTGCGAGGAAGAGAGCCAAAAGGTCTGCCACGTATAATCCTTTTTCTTTTAATTCTTTTCGTATGGGTATCTTGTTTCTCTTAAGATTCTTGTCTATTTACTTCGTTCACGATATTCCTGGATTGACTTTGATCTAGAGCTTATAAAAATTATCATAAAATATTTTTGTAATCAGGAAAACCTAACACTGGAGACTCGACTTATACTTTCACATTTAATTTGGAACGTGTAAATTTTTATTTTCTACCCTAAGCAATTTATTCGACTTACTAAACTCAACAATATGACGTAAAATTTAATTCAAATAATTATGTTTGTTGGAAATTCTAAAAGAAAGTGTCAATAAAAATACGATTTTTGCCTTTTTCATATCTTGAGAAATCTCCGCCAATGAGTCGTAAAATTAATTTCAAACAGACTACAAAACTAGCTTTAGAGAGAAAAATTGACGCATTCAACTGTCATTTGCAAAACTTATTGGCCTTACAAAAAACACATTGCAAAGTTTTATTTCAAAAAATTCTTCATGCCAGTAAATGAAAACTTTAAAATCGAAGTCCATCCAAACGCGCGCAAGTCCTGTAATGAAAGAAAGAGAAAAAAAATGAAGGAAACGACAAAGTCTTATGCTGATGTATAATACCCAACTCCAATTTAGCGGGTGGTAAGCGCCTGCAGCAGAACTACCCCAGTGCAGTGGTCGGTAAGGGAGAACGAACCTGGAAAAAACTGCAGCAGCGTCACGGGCACTTACCTACTGTCATCAAGGATTGCCCGACGCTCGGTAATAGTCAATCCCGAGCTGGTTCGACACTCTCACTCGGCAACTTTTTCCTCAACGAGTGGATCGCTGCTTTTAACTTTCTCGCACGTAAGTAAAGCGAGGATGTATCAATGGGGGGGTTAACCGCTCACTTGCCGACCATCAGTTAAAAGTCGGTATTGATTCACATAAAATTTAACGATTATTGTGTAAAAATTTATATGAGTTATTGAGAGAACTACTACGGATATAAGTATAAAGATTAATTTATTATTATATAATATTTATTAAAAACAAAAAAAAACTTCAATCATTATGGCACGTTATTCACTGAAGTTATTTTAGGATGATTGGCTGATCGCAACGTTTAGTAATATTGTCTGTTAAACCGACGAACACCCAAACAATATCTTGACCGCAATTAAATATTTTCTTAAATAATATTTTTTTTGTCGTTAAATATACAATTTGAAAAAGCTTAGCCTTTGAAAAGACTGTTTTACAAATACAAGTTCCTACTACCTTCGTCTAATAAGAATTGCCGTTCTGCCAAATCTTATACAATACAAACCTTCAATTTTAGGCACAGGGCAATATACACATCAGAAAATTAGCTTGCATTAGGAGTTTCTCAAATCGAATTATGTCAAGGTTAATGTCACATTTGTATGCGAAAAAAAACCTCGAAAGATTTTGATGAATGCCGTGATAAGGTATCATTACGCCTGCTCCGATGCAATGAAGATATGACATTATACGAATTTGCTTGCGCAGCTTATTAAATTTTTTTACAGACTAGATTATTGCATGCACTATTTTTTTTAGTAGCTTTATTGAATTTGATAAATGCTTCAATGTTTCAAAACATTATTTTTATAATTTGGACAAAGATGTAATGTAAATTTCATGTACAATTCATTTTTTTTCCAACAGAGAATCAAGAAAAGTTTTACTTGTACGTGATAGTTTCGGTGACGGCCGGAGTATTAATATTGCTGAGTCTGGTGATAGGTCGACTCTTATTTAGTCGACATCGGGCAAAGCGAGATGCCAAGTTTCACGCCAACAACGAGACCTTACCCAACGGCTTCACCGACGACATCTCCGAAATCGATGCCGACATCGATTTAACGACTCCCGTACCGGTGCCAATGCAGGACACTAGGTGAGTACTCTTTCTCTTTCTAATATTCTCCTTCCTTTTTTCATTCTCCGATACAACATTTTGAAAGTTGTATCTTAGTTAGAAATTAATGGCGTATGAAAACTTTGTAATTTATTATCAAGCTCACAACGAAACAAAAATCAATAGCGAAAAAAAGTCTAGCCATTAGTCACACGCAACCACTGATTGGTTTGCTGAGATTAATAACAGAGGCGATGAAAAAAGTCACATGGTTTGTCGACTTTTTCCTACACAGACTTGATGGATTACGCGTTTGAAAAAAAATTTCGTAGCGCGAACTTTATTATAGACTAGAAGTACCGTTCACGTGACCATGTCGGCGCAGTCTGCACTTTAATTATCCATAATGTTTTTTCTTTTATTTTCTCAAATGTGTTACACGTCATTCAATCTTGTCGAATTTAACAGGTTCGATACTGTTCTGCCTAGGTTGCCGGAGACTCAATTGGCCGAGCGGCTCCACGCCGAGCGCTTCTACGGCGGCGACACAACGAGATTACCCCTGTCGTCGGCCAGCTCGATGCACTCGGGCCACAGCACGATACTGTCGAGTAGTCTGCTGCAGCATCATCATCTGCCGCCGATCAACGCGACGACCACACCCGCCGGCATGAGGGTCGATCTCGGCAATCACATGGTTGGCACGGACAATCTCCACACGATCCTGAGGACCGACGCCGGCCGAAGCGGCCTCGGTGCTGGCCCCAAAACCAGCTATTACTACGGCTGACAAGAGGACGGGGGAGCCGGATTCCCTACGCGTGAACTTGTCCGCCCCCCCTCGTCGTCCGCTACGAGTCAAACGCATCTCAGTCCTGTGGCAGAGGTCAGCGCTCGAAAGTATTGCTTTTGAGCTCTCGTTGTGCGTTAAAATATATTTTTTGGACTGCCGAATTCTGATGTTTGTCTCCTTGTAAATAATTACTGTGAAAAGTGGGTAAGATTAGGTGATAAAATGGGCAAGAGTAAGGCGTTGAAAACTTTTGTTCATTCTATCTATTAATTTGGAACGAACAAATAAGCCATAAAAGAGAATTATTCATGAGATTGATAATAGCCAAACATCTGTGGAATGAGATTATGCGAAAAGTTCTCAAAAAAGATTTTCGTACAATCTTAAAGAAATTAATTGAATATGACATGCTGAAATTATTCCTGTGTCTCGAATTCTTGTATAATATAAGTGTACATTAAACTTGTAAATAAGAATAGAATAATATTTCTTTTTATGAATGGAAAATACTTTTGAGTAAGAATACAATAATTTTTTCTATTGTTAATGAAATTTAAAGATATACAAATGAATAGATATAAAGAACTACATAAATTTTCTTCGATTTTTAAGATTTGATCTTGTAAATAAAGTGTATTATTGTAAAATTTATGTCCAATGAAAAAATTCGCTTTACATGTTACAGCCATTTTTGATAGTAATACGCGATTGAGAAACTAAATGACAAGTGGCTGTGAAATCAAAGCGATGGATTTAACATGCGATGCGTGATTGAAAAATTGAAATAATTACGAAAAAAATTGAACTTTAAATTTAAAAAAATCTATGTTCAAAAGAAGTTTATTTGAAAAAAACTTTTTCCTCAACATAAATAAATCCTCAACATATTTCGACAATAAAAAAAAGAAAAATGACAAATCAGGGGTTTTATCGTCAATCGTATCGTAAAAAATTCAAATCTTGATTTTAATTTTAAAAAAATAACTAAAACGAAAAAAAACATGATAAATTAAAGCGTTATCAATCCTTGAATCGCTGAACTTATATACTACAGGTACTTATATCGATGAAAAAAGCGCGTACCAAAGATGAACTACTTTTATCATTGATTCTTATGATAATGCTTTTATTCTTGTTGATAAATTTTAAGTCGAGTGCCTGACATTTCGAAGTCGTTTGGTATACCAAGTGCACGTTAAAATTTATTTGTAAGTTATATCGTATATAAAACCAGTTAAAGGTAAAAAATATTCTACAAAAAAATGTACTTCATCAATAAACATTATTGTCAAATTTAGGTGCAAAAATCTTGTTGAGTCATTGTAACAAAAAAATTAATAGTCTCTAAATAGACAAGAGTTGACAAAAGTATTTTAATCTAGAATTGTTTGGATGGTTATCAAAAAGGTGTATATCTACATGGTCTATGATGTAAAATAATTCAAGTGATTTAACGTTCAAAGAGACAAGTTATTGATTGTTGATCATCTTCTAAACGATACGTGCACCTCTTATACCCGATCTTCGTTTTCGTAAACAATGTATAATCTTTTCATACGAAAAGTAACTCAGAAATAATGACGTGTCACGTGACAAAAAAATAAGAGATTAAAGTGTCAATAGATTTCCATAAAATATAAGAATTGTAAATATTTATTGTATAAAAAAATCTCTATTAAATAATGAACTTAAACTCACATAGCGAGATTCCAAGAGATTTTTCTTGAATGTATAGAGAATAATTGTTGAAGGGTGCAATATTTTAACTTTCGATGATTTGAAGTAAAGCAAAGTTTGAATCGCATGTGTTTATGGTGATAGCGATAATCACAAACTAAGTATATTCATTTTAATGAAAACGCGTAATTTAAGTGGAATAATTTGCTATTATAGAATTGTAATGAGTTACTGTGAAAATTATGTATTTATTACTTGAACGTCAAACGTCTCGAGAAATTTAGAATTGCTTGCATGCCCTATGCACGTCGGTTAGCCACAAGAAACGTACGAGACTCTAGAGAAATGCATTCAATTAATCACGTACACTATTGTATGATTTTGTCTCTGAAGACACTTGAATGAGCCGCACAGCGTCACAACGTTGTTAATTACGCTTCCATTGGTAATCATAGGGCAGTTGATTCGACACAAGAGTTTGGTGACTCAGGAGACGTGACGAGGACTGTAGGGGAAATTTCTTAACTTGCGTATCCTTGGATATATCAGTAATACGGATCTTATCGATTTGCATTAAATTGTGTTGTACTACAAGGTGCGAAACGTACACTGTTACAAGCGGAAGAAAATTGTATAATGTAAACTGTTTTGATGGATGAATAAAAATTTTTTTATAATAACTTATTTCCTTTATTTAAACCTTGTATTTTAAAAATTGTAGCATCATAGAGTAACTATCTCGCAAAAAAGTGAATCTCTATTTATCGTTTCTGATTGACTTCTCATAAAGTTGGCACCGTGAACATCTCTTATTGCCGTTTCCTGCTTCACATACATTCAGACGTATATCCGGTTGCAAACAACTTTGTCGTCAAGTCATAATACATGGCCCAGCCTTGGCTCTATGGAACTCAACAAGAGAAGCTATTTTACCCCTATAAGCTCCATTATACATATATATAAAACACTGCAAGAGCTGCTGGTGTGATTCTCGTCACGTTAAAACATGCAGCGGCGGTAGTAGTTTGCCCTCAGGCTGCTATATATAATACCCAACTCGTGGCATCTCATTTATCGTTTCGAGAAAACTTTGTAACTTAGCCTAGCCGTTGTAAAATCTATACGTGAACGCATGTATACGTATTGTGTTGAAATTCAGAACAGCTCATGGGTGATCAATAGAAAAGAAGACAGAGAAAAAAGGAGTGCATAATGTTGTGCGTACAAAGAATAAGAGTAATAAACAGCAAAGGAGTACTTTGGCTCCGTAAGCTTTTATGTAACATTTTGGCGGACGTGCCACACATTTCACGCATCGGATATTTGACACTTGAAAAGAGCCGAACGACCGACTGTTATTCAGTTCATTCAATGAGTGATATTCAAGTCTATCGCTAAACCTCGGAGATGACCCTTTTTGAATGATTAAAATTTTCAACTTTCTTTTTACAATTTTTATAAAAAATGGTTCGCGTTTGATTATTCGGTGATACGATGCATGTATCAAATTCATAATAAAGTAATCGATATTTTATCCACTGAAGCGGGTATATTGCGAGTTCTATAATCCTCGAGATCGTTTCAGCAACAGCGGCAGGAGTCAGGAGACTGTAAAAAGGCACGATAAAAAGCTGTATTAATGGCTAATACAGCAAAGCAGTAAAGCAGTTGTAAGCACTGCGTAGAGCTGAATCACAGGGGGCCACGCGTTGTTTGTATTTCTTCGCTCAAACATACAACGCGAGCATAAAATAACTTCCGATCGCGAGCTTTTATAAAACGGCGCGCGCGTGTGGTGACAGTCGGTTGTAAAAAAATTGTTCTCGCGGCCCAGCTCTGTCGGTCGCGATCACGCTCGTTCCGGTGCAATGAAGTGTCGACCGGCTTCGCAAAGCTTGCGACAGGGAGGGGAAAAAAGACGGGAAAACTATGGATCGTAGCGGCGCGCGAGCTGCGGTGCTAACAGTGCTGCTGCTGCTGTTGCTGCTACTGCTGGTCAGTCGGTGAGCGCGTACGTATATGGAAATCGGATTGCTACCCGTTGGGGAACGCGCTATACACACGTACTCGAGCGTCAACCTTTGAACGAGTGACCTGCTTCGAAAATTATATTCATTGCTCGTATAAGCATATATAGCCCCTTCGCTCTTTCTCTCTCCTGCCATAGTGTATATACCCACTTGCTGAGCTGCCACTACTACCACTGTGCTCTTACTTCCAAGTCCTTTTTTTCTTCTTCACATATATGTATATGCCGAGCTTCCGTTCCACCTTTCCTCTCCTAATGCGCCCCAGGATCAATCGGATCCTTTTTTTTCTTTTTCCCCGACACGCGTACTGAATTTTTTGCCAGGTCATTTTTTATAAATATAATCTCGTCGTTTTCAGCCTAGGCACTCGACGAATCGCGCAGACGAGCTCAATTTTTCAGCAATAAAAGTATCATTATGTAAGCACGCAAATTTAAATAGACAGAGCGCACCAATAGTGTTATATGTATGCCGAGCTAATTATAAATGATGCGTCTGCGATAATCCCCATAACCGGAGAACAATCGAATCGCGTCGATAATAGCACGACGACACACATCGATAATGCAAAGAAAAAAAAATGAGATTCGAAAAGTTGCGCATAAAGTACTAAGCACCATGGCAGAGCTTGAGTACTTGAGAATTCAGGGAAGAAAAAATTTCCTCGTTACATCAAAATTCGACAGCAAGCGGCAAACTGGAACGGAGTCCGCGAGGAAAAGAAAGTGGATGGGTATATAAAAAAAAAGTTACAGCTCGCACACTCTCGTCGCTATATATGATAGGTTTGTGAGCTTTAAACAAACCCAATAGCGAGTTGTTCAAAGCTCGCACACTCCTGGATACAAAGCATTGATTAGCATTTAGATGAGAAAATTTCTGGGGGAACTATACGCGGCACACGAGCACCAAGGGGGTTTACACACTCACTTACATATATATATGATGTGTGTGCTTACGTGTACGTGTGTGAGTGCAGTGTGTGTCGCTTTCGACAACCACAAATCCGCGTATATTATACCGGTGCCAATGACGAGCGATTACGCGAGCCAATTTATTATATACTTTTACATCTACGTTCCGCGTCGTCGGTATTCGTTTTATGAATTACATTATGGTTCTGCCAAGATTTTCTTTTTTTTTTTATGAATTACTTACCACTACACGGCAGATAAGTTACGTTAATGACGGGAGACACTGTCGCAAAGACCATTCACTTTTCATCGCTGCATCAAGGGTAGTATAGAGGTATATGCCGACATTCATGCAAAAATTTTAGCTTGCCAAGTCGACAGATTACAAAAGAAACAAACAGTTTTCTGGTCCTACAACGTTGTCGAGCTTTGTATAAGCAACTTTTTTTTTGTTCCTCATAGATAACACGCTAAGCAAGTAGTCAGAAAAAAACTTGTGTCACTCGTGTACACATTAAACTTGAACCCCACTCACGATGGTTACCTTTATTTTTTTTCTTCATTCATTGATCTTACAATTTTGAAACATGCATCTTTGGCATAAAGGGAAAGGAAAAAGGAAACGAATAAGGTCAAAGTCAACAGGCGCGCGCGCGCTCAAACATTATTAATGTGCTAAAATTTTATTAAACTCATCCAGCCGTATTTTTATCATCACGCGACTTCACCTCGTAAAGTTTGCTTATTATCTCTCTCATAGGCGTATGCTTACAGTAAATGGGTAAATTACGAGCGCACACACGCGTGAACAGGGGATTTTTTTAAAACTCAACTTGGATTAAGTTACAAGATTAACAAACAAGTGATTAAAGACATTTGACATCACGCTGATTGGTCCTCGACGCAGAAAATAGATTGGATTTTTTGTCTTGAAGCTTTACAAACTTTTTACTCAATAATTATTTGGTGGTACAACAGTTACTGCATATTTTCAATCAAACCATACATTGAGGTATCGGGTATGTATTAATATATATTTATTAAAAATAATTAAGCTACATTCGTTAGTTTTCGAATTGGGTATAAGCATGGCAGTGCTGACATAATTTTTCGAAACTACGAATTTGTATTTACAATTGTTACTTGATTATTATAGCTATCACGATTATTGCTTTTTAAAATTGGTATCAAATTGAAAGATGGCGACAATTTCTGATATAAGTGGTATCATTCGTATTTGTTGTTTATATTAAAAATGTTATACAATTTTAGTCGAGGCTATAAAATTCATTTAGTAAGTGTATTCATATTTTGATATGTTTCAAAATTAATCATAAGCTTTTAATGGAAATAGGAAAAAAAACATAATTCAAGAGATTATTTTATCATTCGATGAGGAAAAATTGAAATCGAGGAAGCTAATTACAATCACAGCCTATTTCTTATTCTATTGTTACGAGAACTAGGAGTTCCATCACATATTTTTAGTTTTTAATAATTTATAATAACTTCGAGTCGTACTCTGAATTCATCTTCAAAATTCCCGTAAAATATTACTACATAAGTTTCTTTTTCATTTGTAGGCCATTAAATAATATCATGAATACATGCATTCAGGTTTTAACTCAATTGATTTTTCTATAAAAACTTAGTTGCTCACGCGAAAATCGATGAAAATAGCTGTATATTATATACGAGTGCCCTCCGCACAAAGCATGATTGTACTTAAAATCTATTCCCTATGTAAAAATATATATTTTTTGTTTTATTTTCCTCAAAGCAATACACACTAATTAGTCCATTGGGCGATAAGACGTCACGATTCCAGCTCTGTGACGACATGCTTTTTCCTCGATGTCGTTTGCTCGACGAGTCCTCGTGCAGTTTCTGTCCATGGCATGGATACTGACTTGTGCCGTGTTCAATAAGCGGAAAACGAGTCGAAGAGCAAGTGCTGCAGATCAGTGGACGACTCAAGTAGATCGGGCCAATTAAAGTAGCCTCAGCTGTTATCGATGTCTCTAAGTGCAGAGAAGGGACACAGGAGTGCGCCGTGGAGCTATTGCTTTCCGAAGAAGAGGATAAAGAAAAATCTATAGATTTGTATGAAATAAAAAAATAAGCTAGAAACTAGACAAGATCATAAGGCCAATTACGTGCTCTCATTTAAAAACATTATAATTACATGCTCCGTTCGGATATTTTCCTCCTGCGTTGAAAGTTTTTACAACAGTTCCATTCGGGTTTGGCTTTGTAAATTTTAAAAAGAGCTTTAACCGCACGTCCACTATTACGGTGACAATTATATTCTCATAGACAAGTAGCTATACCATAATTTGGTCAGACAGTCGTTTTAATGATTTGTATGAAAAAACTTTCGGTAGTAAAAACTCTAATTACCCGTTTAAAACGTTAGCTTCTCAGAAATTGTTACAAAATCTCCAGTATATATAAAGAAAGTGCTTGTCTAAAAGGCGCCAGCTATAAGGTATTGCATAATGAAAAGAAAGGTTTTAAATTGCTACTTAATAAACGCAAACAAAAGCTTGTGCGCTTTCCTTTTACTCCTCGTAAATAGGAAGCTTTTTTTCACTCAAGAATGAAAAGATATGCTCATCCAAGAGTCAAAAATACATCTCAGCTTACAAGTAATAAAACAGCTATTAGCGAGAGGGGCGCAAAAGCACGAAAGGTCGTGTTAAAGTTCGCCGCTGGACCATTGTTCCTCGTGCCGTTTGTACAACAATGCCAGAGAAGACGCAGAGCTTGAAAAATAAAATAAAAATATGTACAAAATGCAAAAGTTATAGAATGGGAGAGAAAGAAAGAGAAAGAGAAAGACAGGGAGACGGCTCAAGAGGTAGTCGACAATATCGTCTCGGCCGTCTCGTCGCGTCGTCATAAGGGCCTGTGGTAAACGACCTCACCGCACTCGAAGTGCGTAAGTCGGCGGCTTCGTCGCTCGACTCGCGTACTGATCGAGTGCACACTGTAACACACAGAAACAGAGACTTATGGGTCACATTGTATAAAATCGTGAAATAAAACCAAATAAATATAGAAATGCATTTCATTTTTCTATTCTTTTTTTTTGCGAGTATAAAAGCTGCTGCGTTTGGCTCTCTACGGTACCCCGAGGCTATATATTCCGCAACTTGTGGGGTCAATTACCCAAGTATTAATTTCTACTGTGTATATGCAAGTGACTTACCTTGATCGCTACGGCCGAAAAGTTTTCGATTTACATCTCCGGTTTTCGTGAGAGGCTTACTTTTCTAATATTCCGGTGAAATTTAGAAGGGATACCTGAGAGTTTTCCTAGACAAATAATGAATGATTGCTCGCACGAGTAAATATTGTATTAGCGCCTATAGGTTCAGATTTAGAGCTCATGTTCGCTACGTATAAATGCGAGCTCTTATGAATGATGAAGACCAGTTGTTACGATGAAGAGAACATAATTTGAACAGACTTCACTTTTATACCCACTTGATTAACTTATTTATATGGTGCAATTATATATAGCTTGGCTATGTATACATGAGAAAAAGAGAGAGATAGGGGGAAATACAGGAGAAATAGTGAATATCTAAATTCAAACCATTGTTCGATTTGAAAAAAATTACTATAACAATATATTCCCTAGCAGTGTAGGTAAAAAAAAAGAGAGAACGTATCTCGCTACATGGTGGAAAAAAATCAATCGTCTGACTATAATCGGACCCGATCTACTCGCTGTTGCCGATATGCGAGGCGCAGCAAGTAGTAACGGTGCAGTGCCGTATGCGCGTCAAACTTTTGTAAAAAAAACTTTATCTCACCTAGTTAAGTTAGGATGTATTCATACTGCCATTAACTGCATGTTTTCTTATTCAGCATGAACTACGATAAACTAGTCGTTGTCGACGAGCAAGTATGCTTTATTTTGTTCTATAATCGCATGTTGAACACGGCTTTACGTACAATGCTCGTGTTTAACAAATAAAAAACACTGAGTTCGTTAATTTTTACAATTTCTATTATTTTATTACGACCAGTGAATTGCTTGCAACGATCCATACTTATTAAAACTCGATGATTCAATTATCGTCTTTACTTTTTTCGATAGAGATGGTAACTTTACTGTAACGGGGTAATAAAATCGGATGAGTATTTTTTATATATTTTTTTACTAGGGATCGAGTGAGAAGTTAACACACTGGCAGCATCGCCAAGAAGACTTTTAATTAAATTTTATCCGTTACTCGGATATTATATATATGTGAAAAAGAAATGGGGCAATGTAGCTGTAGCAAACTCGGGCACCCTTTTTTCACATATATTTACTAATATCCCTTCGCATTGAAATGAGTTCATCCCAAGGAAAGTTATAAAAAAAAAAAGGATAATTTTCCGAACAGCTATAACCAGGCGTGCAACTGTAATCGCCCGTGGCCACATGGCCCCGATGAAGCATACATCGCACGGAGCCACACAGAAGAGGCTCTTTTCAGCGAGAGAATAAGGACAGAATTCATATTTTAACCCAAATGCGGAGAAAGAGAAAAAGTCGATCGCCAACAGTAGCAGCCCAGGGAGTGATTCTGTTCGCGCACATAACACAAAGGGATCATGAGTCTATTGTCGCTGCTGCTGCTGCGCGTCCGAAACGAAAAGAAACCTTTTTTCGTGTATGAAACTCGTACAACATACATACAAAAGCGTACGTGTGTGGGTGTGTGTCGGCTGAAAAATCGCTGCTGTACACAGAAAAATATACAGAAAGAGAGAGAGAGAGAGAGAGAGAGAGAAAAATATATATAAGGGTCAGGATGATCGAGCGCGCGCGCGGCTAAAAAAGCCAAGTAAGGCTCTGCGCGCAGAAATCTGGAGCGACGCGACGTGCATATCACGGCCGTTTCATCGCGATAAAGCGCGTATACATTAGATGCACGTGTGTGCGAGAATAGGTGTGTTATATACAGGAGACGTGTGTATATGTATACGTGTTGCGCATGACGTTGTGCATATGCCAGTCGCTGCACTCGCGCAGCTCAAGTAAATTGCACATAGGCGTGTATGAATTAGGTAAGAGCAGTGAGAAAATTAAAGATCGGCACGATGGCTACGGCTTGCGCCGCATCAGTACGACGTGTTATTTTCGCCTTCCTCGCGGAGACGCCCAATTTCTCGGCAAGCGACTGCAGTCGTCGTCGCGATTCGAATGGTAAGCAGCGCGCGCGCGCGGCTCGTGTTTGTGCCAAGCGTTTAATCCTATCACGACGACTGTGTTCGCTTATGGAGCATTTTTTGGAGCTACAGCAGTATATCTCAATGAAAAGGCCAAAGTGAATGCGTAATTAGGTATATATGCAAAGTGTCGCCTCGGACTGCTTGATTTCGTTCTTAATACGTATAGAGAAAAAAAAGCTCGTAATTAAAAAACGACTCTGTAGAAATTTGCATAGCTTCATTTGACAGGACTTGACCCTGACGTAATAACAAGAAAGTCGCCGAGCGACTTGTATAAATATATACAGCACATACATCACGCGATCGTCAAATCTTGCCTAGACACGCACGAGCTGGCCGAGTATTGTAAGCATTAGTTTTGACAAGCGCAAAGGCCACCACGATTACGTGTCATTTTTAATTCCATGCAAATAAGTCTCTCTCTCTCTCTCTCTCTCTCGGTGCACGGCGTATTAAAACGACTTGTAGCGCATTATAAAAGCGCCACGCGTATCCGAAGCTCTCCACTCTCGATCGGATAATCGCTCGATGCTCGGGGACTGCGAGGCGACGAAACGCTTGTTTTACACCTTGAGCAGTTTGTATATGCACACGGGTTGCGGCTGTATGTATTATATAAAGCCGTTGCGTAAAGTTTCGCTCGACAGACACAAAAGATGAAAATCTTTTGTCGAGTTGGCGCGAGGCTGCAATTCCAGCGAAATATCAAAAACGTGACTTATCAATGCTTCGGTGTCCAGGCCCTAGGCGACGACGACAACGTCGACGACAATGACAAAAAAGTGCAACGATTGTATTGCAAAATGTTGTGCGAGCCTCTGAAATTGTCCCCAACAGATGTTTCGCCGAGCTATAGAGCAGGACGAGCAGTACAATATAAACCCATTGGACGTACTTCGCCGTGACTTAGAATGGATGACAAAATATGATTGTACCTAAGTCAACACTTTTTTACAACATTCCTATATCTTTTATGTTGGTAAAATTTCATAAAATGAATGTTGAGGGCTCTAATGTCTGTTGTGACTGTTTCTATTCGCGCTTGGTTCATTTTCAACTAGCACTTCTATAGTCAACTTAAAAACTCCATGATCTTTTTTGTATTTTATTCCAACAATCCATCTCATAAGCGATACTTTGCTAATGAGTGTGCTGGTCCGCTTTGATAAATCACAAAAATATGACTTGCCACAGACTGCACAGTGACTTATGGATTGAATTTATTTAACTGAGTATGTCGATATCTAGAGGCAATCCATCATTCTACGAAAGTACCAAAGATCCGAGTTATGTTACGAAGAAATTCCAAATGGGTTCTTTAATTCAATTATCAATGAATTAGCATAATATATATGTTTCATTTAATGGATCTGCATTACATCGATATAATGGAGGATAATTATCTGAAATTATATCGAATGGGAAATCCCAGAGAAAAAAATTCAACTTAGGACAATGGTATAAGTCAAAAATAGATGATCATAATAATTATATGAGATTTGAGGTCACTATGCCAGACGTTTCGAGCTAAATTCACAAGACATACGAAATGACCATGAAATCGATCCTCAATGCTTTTACCAATAACAGCTGTTTTCCTGCATTCTCATTCGATAAAAGATTCGTCTTTCCGAATAGTTTTAGTAGCTAATTTTTAGAACAGGTCGATCGACTCCAAGTGCAAAAGGAAGTTTGCGCTACTGAACTAGAATCAGGCTCGAGGGTGCATACGTACGTACACAGTCACAGGGACTGGGGAGCTCGCGCAAGCTTATTTAGTGACGAGTCAGCTCATTAGCTAGAAACAACAGTGAGGTCAGATTCTTGGTTTCGCGCGCGCGCTTGCCCTTAGTAAGAGAGTAGGGGGAAGAAAAAAATAATCGAATTCTCGCGCCCCCGCGGGGCACGTAGCGCGCGCTCGTCGTGTTAGCTTTTTAATTTTTTACTTCTATTCTTTTGTTCTTCTCTCTTTGAGGGAATTTCAGGCGGATACCTTCCGAGGCTCTAAACGTCCAACTTTCAACAAGTTGATTTCGGGGAAAAGTAAAGAATTGGCGCGTATAAATCGTCCCACTAGAACAAACAAGTCAAAAATCACGCGGCCGTACAGATGAAAAGTTAACTTGGCACAGAGAGAGAGAGAAAGAGAAGCAGCCGCGAAGCTGTTATCACGACAGCCATTTTTCCGAAACTTGTTTCGCTACACGCGCGCAACTGCCGAGGCAGGCTTTAAACAACAATACGAATTCCTATAAAACTTGTGCTCTGCCATTGCGAACTATACACGCGATACTTTGAGAATATATCATTTCTATACGCTGCCGACCCGCGTAAACAGATATGCATTTGTACGCATAGCGCGCGCGACCAACCGAGAGAGGGGAAAAAAATCCGATATCACGCGGCGTCGTTTTCGATTAACGAACGGCGTCAGTAGCGCTACTACATATTTTTTGTAATAAGTTTTCTCGTCAGGAATAATAGTCAGCTTTATATACAGAATCGTACCTCAGCCTTCAGATTAAGATTTTAAGTTAATAAATCTCAAGGCATGTGCTAGCGCAAGTCCAGATAGAAAGAGAGGCTTAGCTAATTTCCGAGAGTTAGCTTTAATGAAGTTAAACTTGCTTTAGCGATACTTTGAAAAGATTTTTTCCTTTTTTTTCGTGGCTCGGCAATTATCGTCGAATGAAAAACTAACTATGCCTCGCATTTTCTACGCTACTCAAATACAATGGCGAATATTTGAAATTTTCA